TCAAGCGAAAAGAGAACGATTTATTTAAGGATGGAATGGTATTCTTTATTAATCATAAAAGTAGAACTAACAAATTCTCTTTTTAATCATAAGATAGAACTGGGAAATTCTTTTTTTCATCGCTCAGAACTTGGAGTTCTTAAATACATTTTGAATTCTTGGCGCGTTGACGTGCCAACTGCCGCGTTTACGTGTCCACTGGCACGTTGGCGTGGCCACTGACACGTTTACGTGCCAACCCTAGGTCATTTTCTCATGATTATGCGAGGGTAGTATTGTAACCGGTCTAAACTGCCACGGTTACGTGTCAATATCAACTGACACTACTACGTGCCTTGAGTAACATTCCCATGATTAAGCCACTAAGCCAATCCATCATTACCATTTTAATATAAGTTATGAAATAATCAAAAGAAATTAACAAATCGGACATAATTACCAAAATGGATGAGATAGCACAAGCGGAAAAGTTACCGACTAAAATATAAGTTTAGAATAAAAATAAAGAAACTAAAATTTTAAATTTGTTACAATAACAATATTGATGATTGAAAATTATTTTGTCAGATAATGGGTTTTAAGCACCTATCTCAATAGGTTCAACAATGAATCTAATTGAGATAGGTTCTTGAGAACGCACAATATTAAATTGTGAAACGTTACAAACTCAAATTATGCAAAACATTATTAAAAAAACTCAAAATTATCAAATCCGTCGATCTGTTGATACGTAGAAATGTCAGTTATCCCTGTATATAAGTAATACGTGCGTATTTCTAATTATTTACTACATTAATTCTAATTTTGACGATGATAATTTTGCCAAGTGCCAGGAACAAACCATCAAAATATTTCTGTTCGATATTAATACTAGCAATCATATATTGCTATGGGTTATTCCTCTGTGCCACTGATTTTTTTATTGAACCTAAACCTTTAAATTGTTCCCTTGGTTTCGATAACATTTATGTCCTTAATCTCGACAAGAGGGGAGATAGACGTGAACTAATGAATCACTTAGGACAATTTCATGGATTATGTTATGATTATGTCAAAGCTGTTGATAAAAATGATGAAATGGCAATTAAGCCATTATTATATCTACGAATCAATTGTCAAAAATGGATATAATCGCTCGTTGATTTTAGAAGATGATGTAGATATGGAGCTTGATATTTTTGATATTATGTCTGGTATTCATCGTAATTTACCTAACGACTGGGAAATTCTTTATCTTGGACATTGTCACGAATGGATAGAAGACACCAAAATTCTTGATAATGAATTATTTGCTAATCATAATAAATTACACACTGCTGTACATCCACAGTGTACACATGCTTATGCTATTACAGCCTCAGCTGCCAAAAAGTTATTGGAAATTCTTGATATCGAACACACTAAAGTTGACAAAGCTATTGATGTAGAGTTGGCCAATCTTATTCGACACAAAAAGCTCATTGCTTATGGGGTTCATCCACAGATTATAGCTCAATGGAAAGATAAGAATGACATTTCAGATACTATACCTGATTTTGTAGATCAAACTTACTATTTGACAAATTCAACCTTAGAGTTTCTTGGTTATAGACGAGAATGATTTTTGTCACTAGTTGTGGTCATATGATTATGATTAATGGAATTCAGATAGCTGTGTGGTTTCAATTTCAATCCTGATGTTTCGCACAAGAATTTAGTTTCTTTAAACCTTTTGTCTCATACCTTATTTTTGGATAATGGTTTTATTTAAAATTACTATTACTAGATTAATTACTTAGCTAATGTGTAGTATTATAATGTATTGAATATTTTATATTGGTGTTCAACATGGCCGGCAATAGACTTATTAAAAATGTTAATAGAAGAACTTTTTATTCATGACATTATGAATAATTTTTATGTAGAATTCATGGCATGAATAAAATAATTAGAACGTTAGACTTGCCTTCAATAATATGGTTTGAGCTAAGGCAGCATCCCTCTTTTGATCAAAATTTCCAAAAAAATTGCTTTTTGTAACTCTCCGATGATCTCGCTCCATCTACATTTCTGATTACTTTGAAATCTACAGTGATCTATTTTGGAGTCTTAAATCTTCATTATCATTACATAAATCTCGGTAAATATTTTGCTTTTATTTTGAGATAAAGTTTAGCATGAGGGTGCTACGAAATTTTTGCATGTATTGGTAGTAATTGCGGGTTTGAGACCCTGGATCTAGGTTTGGAACCCCAGATCTGGGTTGAACCTCAGATCCGGGTTCAAAACTCCAAATCCGGGATTGAAACCCTTGCGATAGCATAATATCTTGATTTTATCGCATAGCATATGCGATAGCATATCAGAGTAGATTTTGCATAATTCGAGGCATAATTCGTAAAAATTTTAGTGAATTTAGGCAAAATTATAAATGATTGAAGAACCGGGTTCCGATATAGACAATCAGTGAACTTAAATTACGAGTGTGTTCCTCGGAAGGATACGGAGACTTAAGGTCAGTTTTTTAAAAAAAGTTCGATTGTATAAATTCGCAGAATTTATGGTATAATTTTAAAAAAATCGCAAAAAGTCTCAGAATTTGCAGCATAAATAAGAAAAATATTCGTATAATTTCGCATAAACAGGCTTGTGAAGCAGGCAGAATTTGGGGTCTGTAATAACAAAAAATCGGCGCCTTAGTAAAGGGTGGTGAATAATGCTCGGGTCTTAATTATGTGGGTATTATTTTTGGGGGATACTGTAGGCAGTGGCCAACGGTAAAAGTACTAAATTAAGAATAAAGTATGTTGTTTAGTTAAATTCTGGTACATTTTAATTAATAAAAACCCGAGTTTTGTTCTGTCCGTACCAACCCGAACAACCGTTTCGGAGCACTATTAACCATATAAAACAAATTCGTAATAATCACAAAAAAAACCAAATTCATTCATATGTCAAAACAATTGTGTGATTTTTTTTTAAAAAATCATTTGTAACTCAAAATTTTTTTCTGAAACCACATTTGACTCCTTGGCAAATAAAAACTCTCAATCTGTCTTATCTCTAATCCCGACTCTCAACCTATCTTATTCTAACCCCTGGTTTTAAACGAATACATTTTGTTTTTATTTAATATTACGTCTGATCCCACATTCTGATTGGTCACGCCATGGTGCTAATCAATTCTGGGTAACAAAGTACGTACGTACGTATAAAAAAATGGGTGAAAAAAAAAATTCTTTTTCGTTAAAATAGGCAATGTGGTGGTTGACGGGGATGCGCAAAATTATAAAGCATCAAAATATTTCGGCACAACAAATTTGAAAAACAAAAAAATATTTGGACAATCTCTCTGATACATTATTAATCAACACTATGTTAGTCATTTAATACTGCAAAATCGTTAAATTTACTATATCTATTGATTCTAAAAATTGATTCACCTAGTGTACCAACTACATATTAAATTATTATTTAGTTAATATATTAAAATAAAGCTACAATTTAAAAATTTTTTTACAAAGCAAATTCTTAGTTTGAACATATATTGCGGGAAGTTCTTACTAATTTATTCTTTAAAAAAAATCTTAAACTGTAAACTTCTTTTTATCATATACAAATAATTTGATGCAAAAAAATGTAGTTTGTACGTGAGATGAATCAATTTTTTGGATACTAATATTCGCTGGTGGATTTAACTAGATTTTGCTATAATACCTGGGACCTTCTGCATTATTAATAATTGTGGGGGCTGATGCTGAAATCGGCTGATGTTGAAAATTGGGGGCTCTTTTTAAATCTATAAAACCTACTAAAATTCACATATACTTTTTTATTAATAAATACTACTC